TTAGATATGTGGTAGAGTTTAGTTTTGTGATTAGATATGTTAGAGTCTAGTTGTGTGGTTAGATAAGTGGTAGTTGTTAGTTGTGTGGTTAGATATATGGTAGAGTCTAGTTGTGTGGTTATATATGTGTTAGCGTTTAGTTTTGTGGTTAGATATGTGGTAGAGTTTAGTTTTGTGGTTAGATATGTGGTAGAGTTTAGTTTTGTGGTTAGATATGTTAGAATTTAGTTGTGTGGTTAGATAAGTGGTAGAGTTTAGTTTTGTGGTTAGATATATGGTAGAGTCTAGTTGTGTGGTTAGATATCTGGTAGAGTTTAGTTTTGTGGTTAGATATGTGGAAGAGTTTAGTTTTGTGGTTAGATATGTTAGAGTCTAGTTGTGTGGTTAGATAAGTGGTAGTTGTTAGTTGTGTGGTTAGATATATGGTAGAGTCTAGTTTTGTGGTTAGATATATGGTAGAGTCTAGTTGTGTGGTTAGATAAGTGGTAGCGTTTAGTTTTGTGGTAAGACACGCGGCAGAGAGTTATTGTGTAGCTAGATATATATTTGAGGTTTTCTTCTGAAAAGAGTAACTGTGTGGTGGGAAAGATTTATTGTGTGGATAGATTTATGCTTGAGGTATATTTTGAAGCTAGATGTGTGGTAAAAGGTTGTTGTGTGGAGGCAGAGATTTATTGTGTAGCTAGATTTATATTGAGGTTTTATTGTTTACCTAGATATGTGGTAAAGGGTAGTTGTGTGGTGGCAGAGGTTTTTATTGTGTGGCTATATATATGTTTGTGGTATAATGTGAAGCAAGATTTGTGGAAAAGAGTAGTTGTGTGGTGGCCAAGGTTTATTGTGTGACTAGATATATGTTTGAGGTATATTGTGTAGCTGTAGCTAGATATGTGGTAAAGGGTAGTTAAGTGTGGTGGCCAAGGTTTATTGTGTGGTTTGATACATGTTTAAGATATATATTGTGTGTCTAGGTTTGAAATGGTATTCTAGGTCAAAGTTCCCCATCTTAAGAATCGGAAGTTTTTGTTTGGGTCGTGAATCTGCTATAAACCGTACATTTAAACCCCTTTATAAAATTCAATAAAGTAGTTAAATGTTTTTACCCTACTTTAATTTACAACTTTATCTATATATCTTGCTATCTATATATCTATCTATCTATCCATCTAATATCTATATTGCTAAAACTATAGTGCTTTAAATAAACATCAAATACACATAAATTACTTAAATGTCGTCATTCTTTTTTAAAATTTGTGACTCCATCAATGCCCCCCTGTTTCTTGTACCTTATAAACTGGGTCTTTACCTTTTTTCCTCCTTCTAAAACTTCTTTCCAGCTTCTCCTATAGCTGCGTTCCTTCTTCACTACTTTTCATTATTACTTGATTATTCTTAACCTACTAATTTTTCTCACTCTTCTTATAATTTTCCTCTCTCTTCTTATGTTTTTACTCTTTCTTCTTATAACTTTCCTCATTCTTTTTATAATTTTTCTCATTCTTTCATATTTTTCCTCTCTCTTCCTATATTTTTAGTAATTCTTCATATAACTTTCCTTATTCCTTTTAAAATTTTTCTCATTCTTTCATAATTTTCCTCTCTCTTTCTATATTTTTACTCATTCTTCTTATAACTTTTCTCATTCTTTTTATAATTTTCCTCATTCTCCCTCTTTCAGTGCTTCTCCTTTTTTGCCTTTTTCTTTTTCCTTCTTCATCTTACTTTTCTCCCCTTTCCCTATCATTTTCTTCTTTTATTCTCTTATTCTTCCTGCTTTGCTTCTTCCGGTTTTTTTCAATCTTTTTCTTCTTCTACATTTAATATTTTTCCTCCACTTTTTCTTCTTCTACATTTAATATTTTTCCTCCTCTTTTTCTTTTCTTGACTTCTCTTGTTCGTATATAAAGAATTATTTTATAAAAATATTTTGAAAATGTTTGGATTTAACAGTTTTTAAAGCAGTACTATTCATCTAACAGTCACATTGAGGCAGTTGAATTCAGGCAGTGTATTTATACTATGCAGGCAGTAGGAGAAAATACTTCATTTTACAATATATTTTCAAACCCATTGTTGAACTGAACCATTTATTTCCAGCATACAAATAGATTTAGTGTTTAGATATACAGATATACAGATATACAGATATACAGATATACAGATATACAGATATACAGATATACAGATATAGATATACAGATATACAGATATACAGATATACAGATATACAGAGTTACAGATATACAGATATACAGATATACAGATATACAGATATACAGATATACAGATATACAGATATACAAATATACAGATATACAGATATACAGATATACAGATATACAGATATACAGATATAGATATACAAATATACAGATATACAGATATACAGATATACAGAGTTACAGATATACAGATATACAGATATACAGATATACAGATATACAGATATACAGATATACACCTATACACCAATACAGATATACAGATATACAGTTATACCGATATATAGATATACAGAAATACAGATATACAGAAATATACAAATTTATATAGATATAAACAAAAACATGTAATAAATATAGTAATAAACTCCATATTTGTAAACCTGAACATTCCTATATATATTTTACGTTATAACATTATTTGTACCTTAACTAAATTAATTAATTTCTGAAAAAACCTATCGGTTCATATGATTAACATTTACTATAATATGTACCCAAAATACAGATTAGTTGGACATGAACCTTTACTATGCTCAGACACATATT